CCACTGTTTTGGAGCTTTGAAAGATTATATGACGTTTCCGTCAAATGTAGCAAATGAACAAATATTTTGAAAACTTGACTAGTTAAGGATGTTCGCTACTCTTGGTTTTGACTGTTTGTCAGATATATAGAATAATTTTATGTAAGAAAAAAGGTGTCAGAGTTAATCGAAAGAAAAATCTACAGAAAAGCATTTCCCGCCAAATTATCAAATATTTATATCTCAAAAACAAAGACACAAACCTTTCTTTTTTTTTTACTTTTTAAGTTCCGTTATTTATATACTATCAAATTATAACAGTCATTTGAGACGTTTGTTATTTTGAAACAGAGGAGCGAACATCCTTAAAACATTTTGTAGTAGTGCCTTACAATTCTAGACGTTATTTTAACTTCTTTGCCTGACTTTGAAATACACTGTTGTAAAGTTACATTTATGATTAACTGAGTAAAAAGATAAAAGATTCCTTATAGAAATTGTTATTGTCATACCGTTTTTATGTAATTTATTAGCAAAGTATTCATTAAGTACGTCTCCTTAGTAATTTCAAAAGTAAAATGATGATTTTTGCTATGGTATGGTCATTATGGAACGTTGATGGAACGTAAAATCAATGTTATAATACCGTTTTGCAACACAACAAAAGGAAATTTTAGAAAATCACAAATCTGTCTTTCTCTCCTTTAATATAAACATAAAAAAGGATGATGAAAATCTACCGTCTTTATATACAACACTAATTCCCACAAAAAAATACACCGAACATATTATCATCAAAATGTTGGTATTTTTGCTTTACAACATATTTGTTGAGTCGGTATTCCAATGGATACAAATTATGCACCACTACTGGTCGACTTGTTTTTTGTACTCATATGAAGCGGAATTCATACAGAAACTTCTCAAAGATGAACATAACAATCTACTAGCTATGTTCTTTGTAGCAACATTCCAGCAGCGCCATTAGCTATATATGGAGTATATATCTCCTAGTTGATACGATATTCTAGAGCTTGCGTTTCCTATCATGATAGAGGGTTGCTGCTTACAAGGAAGTTGTTGAACCATGAGTTTCAAATTGTGAAGTTAAAGTGAACGTTTTACGGATGCCATTACGAGTTTATTGATCGTTATGGGATATCTGAGTCACAGATGACCAAAGACATGTTTTAACTGTCGTTACTACAATACCGTCCTCTGTTCCTCGATTGTAACATTATCGATTGAGATTTTTACTGGATTGATACCTGGACGATCAACACGACGGTTGTCACATGTGGAGTAAAAACTGCTTATTGCTAAGGAGCACCTGAGATCACCCCAAGTTTTGGAAGGGTTTGCATCCATAATCTTTAGTTTTCTATATAGTGTTTTGTGAACTTGTTCGCCATTTCGTCGTTTTCGTTTTTTTGCCTTGGCTTTGTCAGTTTTTCTTCGACTTAATAAGTCTTGAATTTTCCATTTAATCATCCGCTTTTTTATTATTTTACTTTCAGATGTATTGATGATGTTCTGTAACTGAATAACCCACATTTAAATTAGTGTTTATATCGCTGTGACCTTGAAAGTAAGGATACTACCGATAGTAGAAGGTTTGCTTGATCTTTTCCTCGATTAATGACACAGTAGACGACTTCAAACTAGAATCTATGACAAACCTGATGATTTCAACTTTACAATCGTTAACTTCCTATTCCCCAGCAGTAACAAACACTCTGCTCTATCGTATAGCGTTTACATATCTCAGTTAATATGTTACACTCGTGTGTGCTCCTACCATGCGGATTTCATTAACAGGGCTCCTGACAATAATAAGTGCTTCCACTGAGTTGTTAATTCGACACAACATAAATTGTACAGTCACAAACACGAATTGGATACGTGTCTTAACTCAGTAGCGACATGTTTTCGCAGTCTAAGATCTTCTTATAACAGAAAATAACTGAATAATCTTTTTATCTGTCCTATGCCTGATAGTGTCTTATTCCTGATTGCTGTAAAGTTTGTAATGCTTCATAAAGATATTCAGTTCTAATATGTGTGTGTAGGAAAGTGCTATGTACTTACATGGGTTTTGTACTTGATGTATTTTTAAACTCTTTTCCTGTTATATATTTAATAGAAATATTGGCTCTATTTTTCTGAAAAATATCTAAATTTTCTTCAAATCAACCTATGTCCGTATTCACTAGTAAACAAAAGTTGATCTAAACCGATCATTTTGATCTGAACAGTTTTTTAAAGACTGATCAATACATTATTAAATCAATTTAAGTCTTTCAGTTAATAACCAGACTTATCCTTTTCGGCAAATTCAGTACTCTCAGACAATCCGCCTACAGTCAATAAAGATATGTTTAGTCTACCTGTATGTTCAGACTGTTCAGTATAAGTAGTTGTTATTTACCGATACATATCAACATCATTTTGAATTGTCTGAACAGCTACTGATCAGTTCTGAATTTACCTCCGTGAATAAGTCTGCGTGTTTACTAATCTACTAGTGATTTCAAGTACATTTACCATATGCCCATAGCCATTCTACTGCTTGTAAACTGATAATCCTCGACGGTATTATCCGACATATAGTCAATGTAAAGCTGTAATATTCTTGTGTTTTAATTCTGTGCTGGTAACTTTGGTTATAAAAAACAAACTGATTGCATCCCTTCGTACAAAGTATACATTACTGTCTGCTCTTCTAACAACCTGTATAAAAATCTTCATATTTCGACTTCATTTGAACGCTGGTGGATAATGATCTAATCAGCAATAATGCCACATCTCCTTGTTTTTATATCATTGGTAAATACTCATAAAGATATCTTCATCGAAAGCAAAATATACATAGTTTTCCAACGTTGAATTCATATTCAAACAGTCTCTTTTCATTTACAATCAACATTAGATAAATTCAAATGCTGATCTTATACTAGTATTCAATTTTCAAAACATCTGCATTTTATTTTATAAGGGTTTTTTTCTTGGCTTATGTTTTTTGTCCTTCCTTGATTTGATTGCTCGCTTAGTACCTTTTTATTTTGAAATGAAATTCAAAATTCAACGTAAAAGCAACTATTAAGTCGCAATTATAATGAAGACAATGTACAGTTTTGGCTTATTTAACTCTGTAAATTTACCGAATAAAACATTGTTTGTTGTCATTTAAAAAAGGGCTATTTAGGTATTTGAATATTATCAAAGCATTGGTTTTGTCTATAAAGTGGATATAAACGTGATTTATGAGATTTTATGGAAACATATCCTTAATGTAGGAAAAAAGTAAGATAACAAAAATACCGAACTCCAAGGAAAATTTCAAAACTGAAAGTGCCTTATCAAATGGCAAAATCAAAGTCTTAAACACATCAAACGAATGGAAAACAACTGTCATATTCCTGACTTGGTAGAGACATTTCCTTATGTAGATAACGGTGGATTAAACCTAGTTCTATGTTTTTGCAAGCGTTGCCCACAATAATTTGTTTCCAGTGAATTGATACACACAAAATATACTGACTGTTACAATATCTTTTTGGGCGACGGTTGTGCTATTTTACTTTTTCTAAGCATGTACTAGTGTAGTAATCAAAAATTTGCAATCGTGCAAACCAGATTATTCACTCTGACAGAATAAATATGGCGGAAGTTGCAATGGAACGTGTAGCCAACAGCGTGCAACTTGGAAAACTGCTATTGCTTGTAGTCCACCATTGTAAAGGATATATCTCTGGACTTCGTTAGTACTTTCAAACGGAAGGTTTCAAGTGCTTTTTAATATAAATAACAGACAATTTAGCACAACCATTCGAGATGTATTATAACTATGATTAATCAACAATTACTTTTTGATTCGTCAATGTGCATTCATACGAAAATCATTTTTTTTTTTCAAAGACAAGGACAATGTCCTAACAGAAACCGATTAGGCGGGAATCATTTGTATTCAATACTCAGTACTTGCGGGCGATACTCGAGTAATGCAGTACTCGTTGACATCCTTAGTATAAACTATGAAGTTTATATTGTATATGCCTCTACGAATATGATGGGAAAATCCTCTTATATTATAATAAGAATTATTTAAGCATTTCTACAAGTGCCTCAGATTATTATAATAAATACTAAACAGGAAACATATGACCAATTTTGTAGAACACTAAACACGAATTTTTGTTGAATCCATCCATCTTTATAATTCATTAAACGGAGAATGATGGCCCAAAGACTTGATTGCATTTAATTTTGTAAAAACTATTTTAATAATGTTGATTACTAGCCACATATTTCATAATTTTTTAGCAATCATTTGGCTTCTTCGTGATGTCGCCCTAAAGGCAGGGAATAATTTGCTAGAACATCCATAAATTTATTCTAGAAATATTAAAGGCACTTTAGAATACATCTAAGAAGAATTTACTAATCTCTCATACCGTGTCTTTGTATTAGGAAGTAAATAGTTCAGCAGGAATTTGAATTAATACCTACAATTTATCAAAGTTAAAACTGTCTATGTATGCAATATTTTTCTTAATGCAGCTATGCAATTCAAGCACCAGGGTTCTCGCTCATAAAACTTTACTCGTACTCGGAGTACAAAATTTGTGCTCGAAACACTTAATCCTGTATTTTGATTGGTTGATTTCTGAGTCTGAGTACAATAATCGTGCTCGAAACGTTTATGACCGCAAGACCTGATATTACTCATAATGAGTCCAGTAGTAGAAATGGCCGTTTTTCTCATCCATGCCTTGCACAGGGGAACACAGAAAAAAAATGGAAAGCATTTATCATCTGAACAGAAAATGATTTTGCGGTCGGTAAATTACGATATGGTGTTCAATAGTGTGCAGTTACCGTGTGTATAGTACATTTAAAAGATGCAGCCACTTATAGACATATAGAAAGTAAACACACATGTCTACCAGAAAGGACAATTATGAAGAAAACATTACAGAACGTAGATATTTTTTAATTGTACTTGTTATAAAAATCAAATTTCAAACTTAATTGTGCTCTACAAATATGTGTTTCATCATCACTGCGTACATATAACAGTTGTACTAACATATTTGACTAGTAAATGAATGTTGATCTTAAATTCATTCATCTGAAAAGTCTAAACAATAAAGTATTCAGTCATCTACAGTGACTGTCTGTCAGTCAATTTTCAGACTTGTGGTAAATTCAGTAGCTTTTCAGACAATTCAGTATGATGTTGATGTGTACATGTAAATAAACTCATCATGGATACCAGGATTAATAAAGGCAACAGTAGTGTCGGTGTTCAAAAGTCATAAATCGATTGAGAGAAAACAAATCCGGATTACAAACCAAAACCGAGGGAAACACATCAACTATAAGAGGAAAACAAAGGAACAACAGGAACACCGAAGTGCAACAAAAACAAACGCCAACACAAATAAAAAACGAACTATTTGATAACCACTGCCATATTCCTGACTTGTTACAGGACATTTTAAAGAAAAAATGGTAGGTTGAACATGGTTTCATGGCATGCCAAACTTCCCGCTTTAAGTCAATGTTAAAAAAATATCGCTAAAAAACTACGTGACAGAAATACAGAACAAACACACGCAAGAACATTCATAACAGAGAAACTCACAAACAAATAATATAATAGTCGACACAACATGCAAACCACAGAACAACAACGAATATATTCCATCAAAGAAAAACACCATAGGATATCAAAAACAGTGACGCGCTTACGTAACCAACCATCAATCTCGAACAATCTCGAACGTTATACAATATTTTTCTCAATATTCGTCCAAACAATTTTCATGACAATGATGGTATGGAAAGGCAATTAAATGAGAACTACTGAACAGTCTGAACATAGACCAAACATATCTTAATTGATTTCAAGCGAATTGTCTAAACAGTACTGAATTTACCGCAGTGGATAAGTCTGAAAATTGACTTGAAGACGAAAATGTCTTAATAATTTATTTTTCAGTCTTTTAAAAGTTGTCAAAATCGTCGTTTCAGATCAAAATTGGCTTGCCAGTGTTTTTTTATGTAAACTTCGACAAGGATATTTAAGCTTTGAAGAGTCCAAATTTAGTACTCTGAAAATGTTACATATGAACATTGACATCCTTTGGATATTAATGCAGAATGTTATTAGATGAAACGGGACACGGTTAAAGTTCGATGTCTGTAGTGTAATCATATGGTAATCTAAACATAGCTTGGATGCCTCGCAGAACTCTGTGACAGTATTTCCATTGTTTCATTTCTCAGGGATAAATCTGATAATTCATATGCAGATCCCTCATCAGAACAATAACAAAAAAGTCTACATTTAGTCTGAATTCTGTGACAGTGACATCTGTTCGTTATGAAAAGACTTATTAAACAAAATAATCCATTCCCATAAAAGATAAAACTTATTGCAAATAAAGCATCTGATGAAACAAATATTCCATTTGCGTTGATCAGAATTACTAAATAGTAAATGAACGTAACTACAAGACACAAAATAGATGCTGAACTAAACCAGTTCAGGACAAAAAGATCGTCTTCGTTTACATTTTTATCAAGAACCATAGCAGAACGTGGGTTTTTAGCATAAACTGTCACGTAACATACAAAAATAATCACGTATGGAATAAACGTTGAAATCACTAACTGGTACCCAGACCATATGATGGCATGACTGTTATATGAAGTAAAATCAACACTACACATTCCTATTTCTGAAATAAGAGAGAAAAAGATAAAGTTATAAACAATATATGAAGTTGTAAACCGAAAGAATCCATTTTTAAATAAATATCATTGCTTGCTATTCCCTTAACATCTTCGCATCTCTGCATGATGCAGTCTCTTTGGATTGTTGTGCAAAGAAAACGTTATTAAATTACTGATCAGTTAAATGTATAATTTGGTTGATTCCACTATCAAATGTTTCTGATGTAAAATTACTGATCAGTCAAATGTATAATTTGTTTGATTACACTATCAAATGTTTGTGATGTAAAATTACTGATCAGTTAAATGTATAATTTGTTTGATTCCATTATCAAATGTTTGTGATGTTAAATTACTGATCGATTAAATGTATTATTTGTTTTATTCCATTATCAAATGTTTGTGATGTATTACATTCTTTCAATAACATTATTTTGAAAATAATAATGGTTACATGTTCCTATTGAAATTTGTACTTAAAATAGTCGAACTTTTATGGGGTTATATTGTGGACGTTTGCCCAATGCTCCGGTCAAACCAATTATGGTGTGCTAGACGTTAAATTTTGACTTTGACTTTATAGAGCCATGTTATGTCTAATAAGCTTCTAATAGAACGGTATATCAGTAAAACAACACAAACACAAAGTTCGTCATTTCCTTTTTGATATTTGATTGACATACCATGAAATCCAGCAATGTATAATCCATATTTGCATAATATGTGCACAACCATACTCACCTTGAGATTCAAGATACACATTGGTATATAGATAATATTGATTTTCGTCCGCATTCGTGTTAATTTCCATATTTGTCGCACCGATGGTATGACCTAAATATGGTTTCCATAACAGTGAATACAGCAATTGTTTTACCGATCCATCCTTATAGTTTGTCCAAAATGCTTGGATGCTTTCAGTGTTAAACGCCCGGACAATGATACTGATGACTGATGACACAATTACACGGGCTGATACTCCAATGTCAGAAAGAAAATGATTTGATATTAATGTTTTTGGATCATGTTCTTTTCCTTGCTTCACAGCTTCTTGGAAAGTTGACAGATAGTATGACGTCAGGTCTGGATTTGATGCAACAGCTGTTTGATTGTTAGAATACATGTTAATTGTCACTGTAAGATTGATATGGCCTGGAAATAAAAAAGGAATTCTAAACATCGAATGTACTTTTGGTCTATAAATCTATCAATATATAAATATATTTCACTTTCACAATTCTTGAGTTATTAATTTGAACTCAGTTCTTGATGTTGAACGTATTCGTTTTATTCATCGTTTTATTATCTGTGTTTGTATTTCGAGTATAGATGTGTGTCCTTATTTTGTCTGTCATGATAGTAGTCTTCCATCCTCCTCATTATTTGATCGAGGTAATGAAATAGTTTACTTGGCATTAAGGAATCGAAACTTCGCACATGTAACAAATAGATAAATAAAACTATTATAAAAAATACTACCATATTTTATTTCGTGCAAATATTTTTTTTTTTATGGTTGTCTTTCATTATATTCTGATTTTTTTTAATCATTATGGGATAATTGTATGTGTTGAAAGTGGCATTTGATAGTCTGTTAATTATTTGCTTTCTTTTTTAGATTTTAGAGTATTCAGAGCTTGTCATATTGAATAGACGTCCGTCTGTTGTTGAAAACCATGGGCTTAGGTTGAAATAACTTCATTGTGTCGTTGGGCTCAAGTCACATTAACGTATACCCACATTTCATTTTATTTGCATTCCAAAGTATTGCGGAACAGAGTATTCTAAGTAAGGCCATATTGATTATTGCCTTTAACGTGACCAAAAGCACTTAACTCAACAAGTATTGTTATTTTTGACCATTGTTTATGTTTCTTATGTTTTGTTTGTAAATGCATTTGATTGAATTTTTATGTGTTTTACCCACTATTAACCAAATGCAGTAAATATACTAATTCTTTGCCATGTTCGGTTTTGTTATGTAAAGGTAATGAAAATCTATAATGTAATACGACGTATTAATTTAAATATGAAAGAGCGTTAGTCCTGGTATTCAAAACGTTAATATAATATAATCTTGTTTTTGCAATACACGGCTTATTAAATTTCTATTTATCAACTAATGGACGGATAAATCTAAGTACATTTCTGTGTTTACTTTGTTCTGCATTAATGCAGAAATCATGTTATGATGTTCGTCTCATATTGTTGCCAATAGAAGCGACTGAATCAAACTGCAACCAAACAGTACGAAAATGGCAAGGTCAATTTCGCTTTGTCTAATTTTCACGCTAAATCATTACAAAAAGCATTTCAGTATTCAATACAATTCAAAATAACAAAGGTTCTGACTCAAAAATATTTTATTATAAAATGTGTTATTAGTTGATAAAAATAACTCAAAAGTAAAAATCTTACTGGATTTAACAAAAACCTTCGTCACCAAACCTAAAATTCTATTAAATTATGTTATGCATTTGTCCTTTAAACATTCTCGATAAGGTGTTCTTTGGAATCTTCTTTAAAACATGTAAAATTTTAATATTGTAACAAAGGTGTACTCAACTGCAATGCATGCTGTTGGATAAATACGACTTTAACGCTAAATTTTATGTGAAAATGTTGTGTCATCTGTACTATTATTTGTCTATGTGTCTCTTTTATTTTTGGCCATGGTGTTGTCAGTTTGTTTTCGATCAATGAGTTTGACTGTCCCTCTGGTATCTTTCGTCCCTCGTTTTTGAACAAAGTCGTTTATTTATTATGTCGTCACTTTTAATTTAAATGGTAAAATAACAAAAATACAGAACTTTAAATTTCACTAAGTTCGGTCTATTTTTCAATTAAACCTTTTAATCAAACCCCTTTAGAGTCAGTTTTTGGATATAACTATATTTGTGGTTATACAGTAACAAGACTGATACAAAAAGTATGTGTAAAATATGTGCCTTTTTTTTTTGCGGAAATTCGTTTATAGTGATTTTGCATGTGTAATTAAAGGATTTTTTATTCTTGTAATCTATTATAATAAGTCACAATATTGTAGCTGTGGAGTCAAGTTTTGTCTAAAAAATATGTATAAAATCTCTACGAATTAAATACCTTTTTAAAAGAAAATGATATTGCCGATATCTATGAAAATTCTTTACAATTATATAATGTAACACTTTACATTTATAACTTACCTCTGAAATACGAATATTCACCAAGTCCATAAAGTGGTCCGGAGGACAACAATACGACAAGGATGTAAATGCCACATACTATTATATTAACGTTTCTTGGAGAAAATGTTGATGGGTGGTCAAGTACAGCAAGGAATCTGTGGTATCTAGAAATATTTGTTTTACATGAAATATTTCAACAGATTAATGAATTACAAGTATATTAGTAGCATATCTATATTTTCATTTCTATCCACAATAATGGACTACCGTTAATCACATTGGTAGTGATTTGATCGTCCACATTTATAATTCGATGACCTTTTTTTACACAATATGACAGATTTCTCTGGTACATGTGAAAAGTAGATTAGCTATTAATGTCTGCTAAGACTATTGTACAGTTTATCTCAGTCAAATATTTATATATTCTACTCCTTTGTTGCTGTGTTTGGTCGCTTTTCGTTTTCGTTCTTGTTTTTGTTTTGTATCAATTTTGAATACATATTCCAAATAAATTTATTAATATACTTTTACCGATTATGAATCATTAATTGCTTTTACCATTTCACAATATAAATATTGTTGCATGAGAAGCACGATATCATATGTTTATCTTTCTTGTACACGTAATATTATTTCCGTTAAAATGGAAGTTAGTTTCTCCAAAAGCTTTGGTTTTTAACGTTCGTTTTCGTATGTCTGTTTTTTTATTGTGTCTTTTTGTTCCCTTCACGTTATGTACATTTGGTTTGATTTTTTCCCTATAAATTATTGATGCGTTCACAGAGTTATTATTTAAGAATTCATGTAGAATACAGATACAAAATAATACCTCTCAATGGATACAATCGCCATGACCCATATATTACCAGAAGTTAGAATAAGATTCAGGAAACCAAAAGTTTGGCACATAAAATCCCCAAGAATCCATCCACCTGTTAATAGAACACATAAATAATTTACTGAATCACAAAAAGACTTTTCAATATAAATAAAAGCATGTAATTGTACATTGAGTAGAAGGAGATCATTGCCTGTGTTTTATATGGTTTATATTTAGACAGATCTCGTAAACATTAAATAGTTTATTTCTATATGAGGGTTTTATTCTTTTTTTGTAAGCGACAAAGATTAGTGAATTCAAACCGACAAGCCCAGGAACATCTGATAATAAAACATGATTTCATATAACAACATTGTCGGGAGCAGACAAGCCAGTATATCTAAATGAATCTATCGATTGCAATGATTTAGGTGGTCTATTTGAATCCTTTTTTCCAGAGGATCAAGAGTGTTGCGTTCATAAGTACAACGGTAAATTAGAGCTATAACATGCATAACATGTATACAAAACTCTGTTTGATGATTATATATTATGTCCTTTGGACTTATAAGGCAAAACTAACATCTTTAATATAACTCAATTTTCCCGTCAACGACCATTTTTCCACAATTCAAAAGTTTTAACCAAATACAATTTTCCGCAATTCCTAAAGTTGTAGCTTTATGTATTTATTTTTCAAAAATCTATTCAATCTAAAGCTATAAATAAGAAAAGGTAAACATTTAAACAGGACAATTTATAAGGACAATTACCTTGAAATGACAGAGAATAGAACATCCATATAAATGATAAGCCAAGAGGATTGAAAAGCCTGTTTAATTTTTTGTTAACACAAGTGTATGGCTGTACAAGGACAAGCTTCTCCTTTCAAAATGTTTAAAGTGCTTACTATTCTTTGATATTCAAGTATATGGCTGTAGATAGCAAGACCACTCCCGAAAAGTGTTCATTATTGTTTAAGTAGGCAGTGACTGGAAAGATCGAGTGGATGTCATTAAGTTCTGTCGCATTATTTCAAACAACATGGTTATGCTAGTCTACATGTTAATTTCATATATCTTCCATAATTAAATATTTAATACATTTTTTTCCTGATACCATATATACTAAAACAAAAAGTAGATTTGATTGTCAATTGACGTGGATGTCAAAATAGGTCATCATTCATTTATAGGTTCAGCCTTCAACATTGAGCATTGCGAACGGAAAATGTCACACAGATGTTGAAACTCTTGAACATTTATTTTATCAATGTAACACATTAAAACATTGATAGAAACATTTGTTAGAAGTTTACTATTGAGTTACGTAATAAATAACGGTACACTTGTTGAAAAAGATAATCTATTAGAAACCTTTACATATAATCCTAATTATATAATTTTAAACGCAATAATACCTTCTTTAAAAAGGGCTATTTTGAAAATTGATAATAAAATGCAAATTCGATAAAATTCCACTGACTAGGCAGTATGTACGGGTTTTGCTGAAATTGCACTCAAAAAACGAATTAAAACTTTTGCTCTAGGATATAAAGTATATATATGCAGATCGAAAGTTGATCTCTCTGTGGATTATATATAGTTAAAGATACTTAGTTTTATTGTTCTAAGCTAATAGGTGTGTTCGATTCCATATGTAATAACCTTGATTTATTGATCTTAGGGTATACTTTGTGTAAAATATTTAAATATTTTTGACCGAAAGAAAACTTCCATTTTCTTTTTTTCTAATCGGTATTTGACTTTATGACGATGCATACGTACGGTATTATGTATGTAAGTAAATTACCACATAAACATCATTCTTCATACTACATGTATTAGGACTTACCACATGTTCTTTTTCTTTTTATAATCCATGCATGGGTATATTCCAGATTATAAATCTTATTTGTGTCAATTGTATAAAGAATTTTCAATGTTAAATAAATACATGGTTGTCAGTGAAGCTGATGAACTGTAATGATGTATTATATATAATGATGTTTTGATAATACGTATTACATGCTGGTCATTCAAACTCTTTGGATTTATCCTGGTCAAGTAAGGCTATTAAAAATACCGGGGCCCCCAACTATGTAACCTCGGCTACTTAGGTATTTATATACATGTATCAGGAATTGCTTGAATTATCATATTACTTTTCGTGAAAAAAAACAATGAACATAGCTCATACTGTATAATCAGCTAAGAAAGGCATGACAAAATATGAAACTAGAAAAGAAATTACAGTCTCCTGACTAGGAACAGGTATGTAAAGAATATGTCGGGTTTAAATATGTATGCGAGAGTTCAATCGTCACTCTAACCTAGGACAGTGGTATTACGGCACACCATTAGAAGAAACTGTAGAAAAAATAGGCACAAAGCGCAAAAAGCAAAAGGAGACAAAAGATAAAAGTTTTGATTGAAGAGTACTTTCAGTAATTGAAATTAAAGCTAGTTCCAAGCAAATTGAAACTATTAAAACAAATCATCATGATCATGTTCTCACCGACTGAAATATCAATAAGTATACATTCATGTCAAGACGCCGCAAATAGTCTTAAAAAACGAAACCATATGCAATACCAAAATATAAGAATCAACAGCATACATGTAATTGTGTACTTATTAAGATATTTGTTTAATTTTAGATATTCTTTAAGGTCAGTGTACAGTAATAAATGTTCTATTTAGTAAACGATTTTGCGTGCGTACACTTAATCAGATGATGATTTTTGTGGAAAGTAAATGATGTTTCAATTCTTAATTTGTTGTATGTTAATAAAATGATATGGTCACGGTGTCGGACAAAATTAGAAATGTTTATTATTATCAATGATGGAAATTACAGTTTGGATTGTAGTAGGTTTCAGAAATTAAGTAGCGTGGTGCACATACATATTTTATGTTCATTTGAACAGGTGAATTTAGAACATACTGCTTATTTCTATTTTTTTAATGTACTTCAAGTCTTCACAGCAATGCTTTATAATAATAAATTTAATTTAACGAAATTCAATGTTATACAGGATACTGAGCAAATTTCGGAAAAGAACAGCCGCTAACGATAAACTGTGTCAATTTAATATTACAGTAAAGTCAATATTTTATTTGACCACAATGTGCGGATAAGACTTTCGCATCTCCTTGGCATAGATCGAAACAAGTTGTGTATTCGGACCTGTGGTATCTTTTGCCGTTTTTGTTACAACGCTGGACTGAGTTGGTCCAATGATGGGGGTGAGGGTTTGCACTGGAGGACGCTTCTATCAAACATGTCAAAATGGTCCGAAAGATCTTCTAAGAGGTTCAAATCCAGCGACTTTGAGGGCCATGTCAGTATATGAAATGTTGTTCTGAGTTAGGAAATCTATAATTTCCTTTGCTGTATGGGATCAAACTTTGTCCTGCTGATTCATCTCCCTCCGTCGGTAAATAACATTAACCCTATTTGGCTTTGAATTATCGTTTCTAAAACGTTGAGCAGATCAATATCATTAGACTCTGTTAACGTTCTGTACGCAGGCAGGGTCAATACGTATATTTCCACACCCACCTACTGGGTTTCGTCCATCACACCTTTGGAGAAGAAAACGTGCATCAAATTCGGCGCCAGTTCCTCAAAGTCAAAAACATATATGTGACACCATTGATTAGGGGAACGTCGGTGCTCTGGAGTCAAAACTGGTAGAATATAATGTCTTCTTAGCCATATTACGGACTGTCTGAGCAAACACTTACATAAGATACTATCAGCAGTGGTTGTAGCAGTTGTCCAGGATAGCGTTACTAAATGTGTCGCCGTCACTAGCTGTTTGACGTCGCGTTACAATATTGTTACTATGTTATTTTTATAAATGAGTAGAATATTGATCAGTATAGAAGTATTTTCTTTAGAATCACCATAACCTTATAACAAAGCAAACTATACAATTCAAAACATAACAGCAGTGTCTGTTTGATGATGTAGATGGAACTTCCGAGTGTATCGATCTTGGTCACGGGTAGTTTTCTTGCTTAAGCACTTCGTATGCAATATTAACCTATTTTGGTTTGAAAATTCACCACCAAATTCGTGCTCTGGTGAACGATGATGTCCGGTGTCATTGTTACTTGTAGCAGGTACCAATCTTAGCATATCAGACGCTTCACAGTAGCAATGGCAGTGGCTTGTTTAACATCTTTGTTTTAATTTCACAGATGATTCAACCACATGTACAATCCTGCTGTGGAAAACATTTACAGTTTTTGATGCTTTTTTTTATACAGGTCTTTCAAAATACCATTGTGAGATGTCAATACCTCGTGCCGGCATTTTGAAATCGCCTTTAATAACTTATTGCGTTGATATCTAAATATTTAAGATTCAGTTATTCATTGTCAATCTTATAATAAAGATGAGAAGAACCTTTGCAGGGTTTTTTTCGAGTTTTTTTTCTACAACTTGATTTAATGAAGGAAATTAGATTGATTAAGAACATATTTATGGAAACGATCGCGTCTTATTGCTGCTCATTTTATCATTCGTTGTGAAGTAATTACATTCTAATAATAAGACATGCTGATTATAGATTAAATCAAATTGATTTTCTAAAGTAATATTGTAATTTTATATTTCATCGGAGTTCACGAACGCTTGATTAGTTTCAGTGCAAAAATAACATTAAAACAATACTGTCCTAAACGAAAACAGAGTACAGTAATATCATTATTACATTCTCAATACTAAGATTGCAAGTCTTCGACGTGATCGGAAACATATTGTACATATACAAGATATGAGACAATAACCATGGCGTCACGATGGAATAATATTGTCACTGGTGAGTCTTATGTAAATATAAACGCGTTCTGGCGTACACAATTTCATTCCCCGTTATCTATGATAAGCTTTTTACGAATAACCTTAAGCTTAAAGTAGAGTTTTGATTGCTTATAAAACTTCAAAAGGTTCAAGCGGCATGACAAACAACACGGTGTATAAGAATACTTATGCATAAGGCCAAAATGTTGAGAACTATTCGATTCTTCATCTTGAAAAGGGCTTTAAATGAAAAACCGCCATTGATGCTGCGAATGGAAAACTAAGGAGACGTGGTATCCA